CCACCACCCCCCACATCCCGCACCCCCCACACCCCTCACCCGGCTTCCAAAACTTCACCGGCCCCACGGGCGCCGCCATCTTGGGGTGAGAGGTTGGCCGGAAGCGGCGCGCGGCGCCCACGTGACGCGGCCCGCGTTGCCATGGAGACCGCGCCCCCTCGGCCCCCCCTCACGGCAATCACAGAACTTTCCCGGCAATAACAGATTTTCCTTTCTTCCCTCACGGCAATCACAGAACTTTCCCGGCAATAACAGATTTTCCTTTCTTCCCTCACGGCAATCACAGAACTTCCCGGCAATAACAGATTTTCCTTTATTCCCTCACGGCAATCACAGAACTTCCCGGCAATAACAGATTTTCCTTTTTTCCCTCACAAGCCTGAAGGGCCAAATCTTTGCAACCAAGACACAACGAAGTTGTGGTTGATAATTATTAACATCTAATGTCCGGCAAAGCAAACAAACAAACTGCACTTCGCAACACTCTACTTCCATGGTCACTTGTTATGCTAAGTAGCCACTTGTAAAATAGATTATTCAGTTACAATTATGATATTTTTTAAGTGCTAGGCATATGTTTCAATGCACTTTTCAGATGAAGTCCACACTAYAAAAAATGAACACAACTCACAGTATTTTGTATCATCAATCTATTAGCAATTGTTGAGAAAARGTCCTACTAATGGCAGATGGAAAGAGCTGTCTATTAAAGTAATGAGAKGAGAAACAAAGTGGAAAAGTTATATTTGAGAAAAATATATACAGATTATTATGAAAATAAGATTGCACAAATGATATTTTGCATAGAGTACAACACTGTATGGTTTTGTCTTTATGGAAAATATAGCTAAGAATACTAATACTTGTTTCAAACTTCTTTACATCTGGGTGGAAGTTAAGACTACAAAACTATAAACTATGGAATATTTACAAATTAGAAGAATCAGAATGATTACATTTCCATGATTTTAAGTGCAGAAGAAAGAGTGCCCAGATTAGTTACATATTAATCAGTACATTATTGCATTGTCACAAAGACAATTTTTGTAAGATCCATGTGTACAAATTAATGTCATCCTGCTGCTCTTTAGCTGACACCCATGCGAAATTCTGCTGCCAAGTGTGAACCATCCCCTCTGAAGCCCAGAATCCCCAAGACACAAGCATATGCCCGAGTATTTTGCAGTAGAAGAGACACAAGAACAACTTGAGAAATGGTGAATCTTTGCTTTGACTAATCAATATCTGCACTGTCAGGCTGCTGGAACTTCAGTACCTCAATGTGCAGCTATTTGGGAGGATAGCTTATTCATTTGAGGGTGTGTTTTTTCCTCCAGAAATGAATGGATTAAAGAATAGTAATAAAAAAAATTGAGCTTCTTTGAAACTTTAAAAATGGTTATGTTGTTGACTTCTTTGTCATTCTGTTTCTGGTGAAATTAGGACTTATGTGAAGAGGCAGCAAGTTCACAGATTTCAGATCTACTCAGCCCACAAGACGAGACAGCAACAGCAGCCACAAAGAACTCAAAAATTTTATCTGGTAATGCYAAGAAATTGGTCTCATTCGGCTCTACTACAAACATAGTGGGTCCTTTATAATATTAGCACTTGAAAACATTTATTGCATGATGTCCAACAATCCAAATAGTCTAATATGGAAAAAGCCTTGTTTGCCTGACACATTCACTTGCTCTTCCTGCCAGCACAACTCTGTGTGAAGAAAATGCAACATTTGAGGACAATTATCATGGTACTGACCTACTAGTTTCTAGATGAGGGTTACTCAAGTTCTGTGTCATGAAACAGTTGGTGGAGAGGTTGTGCAACACAAGACTAAGGCTGATTTACATACAAGTATCCTGCTTTCATCTTTGGAATAGACTTTTAAGCAATATTAATTTCAATACCTAGAATTCCTAAAAGAAAAAGGGTTGAGCTACTGAGCTATGACACTGCCAACCCATCAGCTTAAAACATGCAAGAACAGGTTGAGAAATGAAAATTCAGCAGAATAGTACAAGTCAATAACGGCTTTATAGAAGTCTTCAAACAAAGCCACAATTCCAGTTTCACTTTCCCTTAGTCTGAGGTTTCTTTCCTGGCTGCTCTCACAAACACACTGCAAGACAGTGCTGGACAGGGATGGATGGACGTGGTTCTCGAGGTTCTGCTGCTCACTCTGCATGGACATGCAGCTCATCTCTCTATGATCCAGTGTGGCCTCATAACCAGGGAGCCATTCCTCTTAGTCAGCGGGGGGGAGGCATGCATCGTGTTATTTGGGCTGTACACTGCCTCCCTGGAGGCGTGCAGCCAGCTCCTCTTCCTYTTCAGATCTCCTACAAATGCTCTCAGATACAAAAATTCCATTCTCAGGAAGTGTTCCCTGCTCATGTCTCTGGAAGCCACTGTTATCCTGAACAGCTGGTCCCATACCCTGTTCTTCTTGCTGCTGGAAAACTCTGTGAGGTTGATAGGCTTTGACCGTGAATGAAGAATCCGAAATTCCAGGTCAAAGTGTGCAACTGCGGGGCCTGACAGGATCAAAATGTTACTGCTGTTCAGCTTCCCATCTGTCCACGTGAAACTAGCAAAGGAAAAGAGAGGAAATTAGAAGTTAATTCACAACAACCAGTAAACAAAGGATTCACTGAAAATTCTCCATCACATTTAGTTATGTTGTTCTTACAACCCAACGGGTGAGCAGTGGGCTCTTTTAAGGATAAATGTTGGACATAAAATCTGATAAGGAAAGCAATTCTGTAACATTGCTGGTTTTCCTTTCCACTGAGACAAATCATGTTAAGCAAAAGAAAGAAATTGGCACTTGCCTGTAGGAGCCTGTTGTCACTCTAATGCCATCAATTAACATGAACTTTTCACGGACTTTTCCAATGATTTTGGCACCCGACCTGGTGCAGTAAGTGCTCCCTGTGATGATTCGAACTCTCATCAGCTGTTAAAGACACAGCAAGAGTCAGGTGGATTGCAAAGTTCAGTGATTGCATTTAAAGGAGTAACACAGAGCAATAACCATTCCTGATGAACTATGCACTGGCACAGGASTCACTCACTAGGAACCAAGGGATAATTTTGTCTTGGTTTAGTAGGCAAGGAGGTGACATTAGGGAGCAAACCCATAAACTGTGCAGAATGTGACTGTGAAAATTTCTGTCAGGATCCAAATTCCACAGACTCCTGAGAACCTGCTTCTCCATCAGCCTTCAAAGTCTTAGTGAGCCCGAGCAATTCCACTCATGCTCTAGGGACTGAACATTCCTTCTGCATTTCCTTGAATATTCAATTAGTATTTGAGCTCAGAAAGCAACTGTAACATCCACTTACAAACCTTTCACATTTTCTGTTAATTGCTGCCTTATGTAAGAATAGTTAAATCTTCCAAGAAAGAGCTGGAGCTATGCAACACCCAATTAAATTGGCAGCAGGTATAATAATTTCTTCTTCTGACAGCACAAAAATCACAGCCATAAGAGAAGCAGTTCCCTACCCTTCTAAATATGACAAGGCTCACCTTTTCCTGCTCAAGGTCAACTCCCAGATCCTTGCACATTTTGAGAAAGTGAGAAAATGAAGACTGATCTAGAAGGATATACACTTTAACTTGYCGCTGGCTGCAAGCTTCCAAGAGGTCGGTGAAGATTTCAGTATCTGTGAAGGAATCCATAACCAGGGCAATCATCTGCAACGAGTTTCAGAAGAAACCATTAGGCTGTTTCCACAGCATCCCAAGAGAGACAGCACATGAGAAATGTGACTTTGAAATATTCCCCTCTGCCTTTTTTTCAGGTAGTTATGGAACATGGAATGGTCTTCTGTGATACAGAGTATTCTTCCACATTCTGACAGACCCCTGTTTTTGCCCTATGTTAGGCAAATTTGGCCTCTTCCTAGGCAAGAGAGTTTTCTTCCTGAGAACAGATGTCTTTTCCTCAAAATCATTGCTAGAAGAAAAAGGTGAGCTCACTTCCAATGCTACAGTTTCCCAGCCTTTCAACTTCTCAAATATGGAAAAAATGGTAAAAAAAAAAAACAAATCACCAGTGTCTGACTGCTCTTTACATGTCACTTCTCTTTCTATCATAAAAGTATGTCTTCAGCTTATTATTCAGATTCTCATCTTTCAAGTCAAGATTTGAGTAAAACCTTCCTTGAGAGCCAGCTTCTACCCCTTCAAACCTTCCCTATGGGACGGACCCCAAGGTTTGCCGTGGATCTCGGTAGGGTGGGGAAACAACGGCTGTTTCAGAAAGCCGGGAATGGGCACACTCGGGATGTATCGCTCACAGGAGCCAACTCTGAGGAAACTTAGCAGCACCGGGAGAGCCCGGACTCGGTTTTCATCAGTATAGGGAAGAAAAGCTGGCAAACAATGAACCTGTTCAAAAAATAACTACAGAAGATGGCAGAAAAGTGATAAAGCAGTAGCGAAACAGTAATTAAGAATTGGAGTTTATGTAAAAGCGAAGCGGGGAAGGACGAGGTTGCTCTGGGAAAGCCGCGCGGGGCAGCGCTGGCAGGGCAGGACGCTCCCTGGGCACTCACTCACTCACTCACTCACTCACTCACTCACTCACTCACTCACTCACTCACTCACTCACTCACTCACTCACCTGTCGCGCCGAGCGGATCTGCCGCCGCACCGCCTCCTTGCAGCCGTAGATGCTGTCCCCGCAGCCCGGCTGGAAATGCGCCTCCACCCGCGTCAGCCCGCGGAAGGCGCCGCCGGCGAAGCCCGGCCAGCCCAGCTCCAGCGCCGGCGGCTCCAGGTCCGAGCGCTCGGGGAAGTAGGTGAGCGAAGAGGCGTCGAGCGAGGCGCCGGCCGAGGGCTCCGCCGCCGGCTCCGGGCCCGCGGGGGGCGGCAGCGCGGCCCGAGCGATGTCCTGCACCTCGGGCTCCGACAGGAAGGGCGGCAGCTGCTCCCGCCGCAGGAAAGCCCGCAGCGCCTCGGGGCCGCCCGCCACCAGCTCCTCCAGCGCCAGGCGCTGCGCCTCGCTGTACGGCCCGGCCGGCGGCGGCCAGCGCCCCGCGCCCTCCTCCAGCCACTGCGACGCGCTGCCCATGGCCGGAGCGCTGCACCCCTGCCCCGGCTCTTTATAGCGCTCCGCGGGCTCCTCCAGCCCGGCCCCGCTCCGCTCCGCTCCTCCCGGCCGCTCGCCCACGGCACAGTCACGGCTGGCACAGCCGGCAGCCTTCCCCACGCCCAGGGAAGCGCCCGCACCAGCGCCAGCCTTTGAGGAGGAAGGATAAGCCAAGCCCTGGACCTGCAGCCCAGCCCYGATCGAAAGGCTGCTCTAAAGGTTGGAGAGGGTTTTTTTTCCCCAGAAGGAAAGCACCGAGTGCCGAGGAAGCGACTTAGTCACCCCGATTTAAAATGCCAAATAAACAGAAAACAAAGCTCAGCGATGATCAGGTGAAAACCCCGTGRCAAAAAGGAGTTTATTTGTAAACTGTTTCTTCTTCCTGTTAGAGTACTTTAGAGCTGTTAGAGTACTATTAGAGTATTTTAACAGCTGCACAGTATAATAAAGTTAAAAAGCACGTAGAAAACCYAAGGTGATTTTACATACATTCAAGAACTGCAGAACTTGAGCTCCTAAAAATACAACTCGATATTGGCTGCAAAAGTTTCTTGGCTCCCTTCCTGCAATTTGCTTTGCTGCCAGCGTTCCAGATTCAGGGATCARGCAATAAAGTCCCTTATCGTTTGGAACAAGTGCAGACAGAACMCTTTTTTCCCCACCTCCAGCTTTGGGGAAGGAGTGGCTGCTCTGAAAACCAAGTAATAAAAGTAGTTAAGCCTCTTTGTCCATAGAGATTTCAGACAGAAAYGCCAAAGTTAGTTGCTCGTAACACTTGCAGGATTTTTGAGTTGGATATTTTCAGTCATTCATTCAGTATTCAAGCCGACGGCTGAAATGTGCCATCTACTGGACACAGGTGCCCCTAAGTAAGAAAACACAACACAGACTCTGATTTGACTCGTCAGAATTCAATGTGGTTGGTCACTGAGATGCAGATTTAGRAAAACAGTACAGGTCAGATCTCAAGGAGAGACTGCACACACTGCTCCGATAAGAGATCCAGCAAGCACAGACATGCATAGAAAATTGCAAACAGTCATCTAAAGGCTTTGCAATACAACTAAACCTAAGGTCCATTCAATATTGAAAGTATCTTCAATAACTACAGTGGCACTTTAGCTCCTCAAACCAAGTCACTAATGGATAAAGCAGGAAACACAGAGCATTGCAGACAGCACAGTTAAAAAGAGAAAAATGTTTATTTAATTCTTACAGTTACTTGTAAATTAACATTACCCAACATAACCCATAACATTTCGTAGTGCATTTGTCAGTTTGCTTTTGAGCTGGGGCTTCACATGCCCTCAGTGGTTGTCTCACCTCCAAGTTMACTGCAAAGAAGGAAGCACACATATACAAACACATAAATATTTATGTATCTCAAAGGCACAAGAGTGTGATCAAACTAAAGATCTAGTTAGCTCAGTCTGTTTCGGAAGGCTTAAATGATGGAAAAAGAATAGAGTTGAAGATAAGAACCTGCAACTGCTCCAACAGATCCTTCGCAACTTTAGTGGAAGAGTAACATATATAGCACAGAAGTTAGAATAAAATCAGCTTTACAGCTCTTTATAAAACCTGAGTCCCCTCATGTCAAAGATAAAGTAGAAATAAAAGCCAATATTGGAAAAAGAATTGAGAATTCTTTGATGTAAGCTCAATCTTCAAAGATGCTTTGACTGAGTTCAGTCTGACTCAGATTTTTTCCAAGTTTCCATATATTATTACAACTAGCGCTTTGGCAATCCTAGAAAGCAGTAAGAAGTTYRGGKTTGAGGTTAAATACCCAGAATTAAWATTACCTTCACCACTAATGCATAYAAGAGGAACCTGTAAGAAGTTACCATAAAACACCTCTTTTCCATTGCCTACATTGCATAGTATAAAACAAAGTGCTGAAGAGTGATGTACACGCATATTAAAAAAAGCAAAAGTGCTGGACGGAAGTGGAATAATCTGAAGATATAAAGTGACAGCAAGTTGAGACTGGGGTTTGTGTGTTCTGTGGCCAGGRCAGGAATCATTTATTGAGGGAAAAGAGYGAGGCGTCGCGGAGGCTGCGCAGGCTGGCGCTGATGTCCCGCCTCTGCTTTAGGTTACACCTGCCAGGGTACTGGCTCATGTAGCTCGCAGGGACACGGCCCCGCCGGGACAGGATATCCACCATGTGGCTCAGCTTCGACCGGATCGTGGAGTAGTGGCATTGCCTCTCTTTGTGCAGTTTTTGGAAATAYTGTGCCCTGTGACTGCTGGAATATTCGAAGGACCGGAGAGAAGATATTGAGCCTGTAGAGCTTGCTAGAGAGCACTGGGATGATGATGATGAAGACAGTGATTGATGCAGRTTAGAACTGGATACAGCCTTTCCATACAGGGAATATTCTTCTGTTGAGAACTTTCTGGGAAGGATGGGTGTTTCTGTGCCCTCCTGTTCCTTGGTCTGTGTCATTGCAGTCTTCAGCAGAATTGATGTCTGAGTGCCYGTCACTCTGGCTGTGACAGAAGCCTGAGTGCCAGTGTCTGCTGTGGCAGCACTGGCCTGAGTGGCTGCGTTACACATGGTCACAGCTGGCATCTCTGCCCACGGGTCAGTTTGAGTTGATGCACTTTTCCGTTCCACTGTGGCCACTAGATCGGTGAACGACTCCTCTTCACACAGGCAAGAATGCCCAAGGTTACAAAGCTTTCCTCCAGGAGCATATTCAGCCTGAATTGGTTTTCCTAGCAATTTCTTTGGAGTGCTAGACAGTCTGGCAAATTCTGCTCTCAGGTTGCCTTCCACAGTGTATTCCTTGGAGGACTCTGTTTTGGTCAGCAGGTGATCGAACATGCCACTGTTCCTGCAGCTGGACGGTCGCTTMGGGCTGATGGGCAGTGAGCGGGCATAAAGAATCCTGAACTGCAGGTCAAAGTGTTCAACCACTTGACCTGACAACACCAGCAAATTGCTGCTGTTCAGCTTCCCATCYGACCATGTGAAACTGTTGAAAACAAACCAAGATTCCCAGTTAAACTCTGGGGCATTTCAACAGATACTCCTATACAGAAATTCAGTGCATTAAGGAAGGTAAGAAATCAACAGACTATTCACTCCTGCAGGAAGAACTCTATTTAGGTATGGCCAAGGTCTTTGCAAGCAACAAGCTGTGTAAACTAGYTTTCCAAAGGTGTTTTCAGCTTTCTGTCAGCCTCACTTGGATTCACCAGTCCACCTGCCACTGTCACTCATTAATACCAGGCAAACAGCAAAGTGAATACACCCTTCTTGCAGCAAATTCCCCTTCCTGCAGCAAATCCCCCTTTCTACAACTTCACTAGGCACCAGCAGACCCCAATACTTGCCTGTAGGAGCCTGTTGTCACTCTAATTCCATCAATTAACATGAACTTCTCCTTGGCTTTCCCGACAATTTTGGCACCTGACCTCATGTAGTACGTGCTCCCCGTGAGAGTTCGAACTCTCAACAGCTGGTTCAGAAAAGAAAGGAATACAGTAACATCAGATTTAAGTTAACTTGCAAAAACTTTTGATTAGCAATTTTACTTAAAAGCAGCTACACACATTATGGAAGATAGAAATGAAATTAACTCTTTTACAGTCTGTATATGAGTGTTTATACTGACACAGTGCTAAGTTTCTGTTCCATTAAGTGAGAACAGTCAATTAATTACTGCTCAAGAAAGTAGGAGTGTTTTTCCCTATCCAGAGAAACTTTTACTGCAATGAACATAAACCTGTCAAAGCCAAGTCATAACATGTCAGCTTATATTCACAGAACTAAGCAAATCACCTGGCTCATCCAAACCCCTTTAAAAGAAAGCAACAAGGTATTAGGAAAGCAATCAGATGATACCAGAGCTGTATCACCCTTGAGTTTCCCACATTTCTGTTTTCCTTAGCAAGCAGTTCCTTGAGGCAAAGGATAGAGCTATTTAAATATTGCAAAATTAAATGCTTGAAAATTATTGCATCCTCAGGACAGGGATCCCAGTGCACACTGCACCCAGCACATGGGACTGGAGCACAGTATGGCTGGAGCTCCTACATATGGGCAGTGCAGGGTGGCAGATGTGCCTTTTCTGCAGAGTTTTTGCTGAATTTGTGAGCAGTTTCACATGGTGGATTAGAGGCTGTACTGAAACCATGCAATATTGAGCCTTGATCTTCAGGAGCTGAGCAATAGTTCAGAAAAACACCTTTTCTTTTAGTTATCAGACAGACAGATTGTTTTAGCCCATCAAGGCAGTCTGATGTTTTACAGAAGAGTTTCTTTGATATGCACAAATTGTACCACAAAAATTAAAAATAAAAAAAAAAACCAAAAAAAACCACACCGACCCAAATTAAGTACTTACACTCTCCTGCTCAGGACAAACCCCCAAATTGTTGCACATTTCCAAGAAATGGGGTAGAAAGTCCTGGTCMAGAAGGATGTAGACAGGAACTTGGCGGTTGTTGTAGGCATCCTGGAGGTCACTGAAGATCTCGATGTCTGTGAAGGAATCCATCACRAGGGCAATCACCTGCAAGGAAAGTCACAACACTTACTGAAGGGATTTATTTATATAAGGCCACTGCCTCCCCCAGCCATTTTCTCCTGCTGCTRTCATCAGGGCATGCAGATTTCCTGGTCCTGCTGCACAGGCTCTGGCAAGTTCTAAAAGATTTCCATATTCCCCCAACATTCCTGTAAATTCACTCAAGTGTAAGCCTGAAGAGTCTTTTCCTCATGTCTGCTGCTTTTGTACACTTTCACATCCTCCTTTCCTGCACAATCCTCTCTAATGTGGCCAAATTGGGGAAGTAATCACAGCAGAATCAGAACTCCACACAAACCATCTCCATGCCTGTTCTCCACGGTTTCAAACAGCTACAGGAGAATTAGCTTGAATGGCCTCCTTGCTGTCACAACAAACCCCAACTGATTTCCAGACTCATGTTGGTTTCTAGATTCCTACTGAGTTTCTAATACCTGCACAGGAAATCCCTTCACTCWCCCAACAGTTCTTAAAAAAAGGCAAATCCTGAAACRGGAAGATTACACTTATAAACAATCMCTCGAGCTAATTCAGAGCCACCTCACACACTGATTTGGTGCTAGAATTCTCACCATTCTGAACCACCTCCATGTAAGGACACAAAGACATAAAGGATTCAGCTTCGTGACTGAATTTCCCACTTTCCTTCTATTAGACCAGCATAAAGAACAATGATTATACAACCACTGTGGGTGCCTGGCACCTGCCCTTATCAGATGGATGCTGCTGCAGCACACCCAAGGTGTACAAGCACGCAACACAGATGCTCTGTGCGTGGCACAGAGGAAACATTTCCCACAGGAACAGCCTGAGCTCTGCATTCCCACCTGTGCCCTGCTCCCAAAAGGATTGGTTCCATTTGGCTGAGTTCTTACATAAAACCTGCACAAGCACATGGGTATTTCTAGATAAAGCTACTTTATGTTTGTGCTTCTTGTGTGTGTCCTGTGCTTCTCACCACCCAATCTTGTYTAAGTGTTGAAGGAAGAAAAAAACTCAATATGATACTTTTGACAAGACCAGACAAGTAAGAAAACCACCCCTGAAAAYAAAACAATTCACACTAAATCCTTGGGAACACGGATGCCTTCATATGACTACACAAATCACGGCATGTCTAAATCCTGATCCCAGCATTAGCAGCTCTAAAAGAAATACAGTTTTGCCCAAAGTGTTCAGAGGAAAGAGAGAAAATGCTTTTCTCTACACTCATCCACTCAGGATGACAAAGACAAAATAGCAGCAGTCACTKGAACTAATTTATTTGCATGAGATTGGAAGATACTATGCAGCAWCTGAGGTTTTCCCAGTCTTCACATTTAACTTGAGGAACTCAGAAATTAATACTATCACACAGTATCTGACATTCAGTAAATTTTAGGGTGTCAGAAATRTCCTTTATGTCCACAAAAACACTGTCTGGATCAGGTACAGACACAGATGGGGCAGGAACACCTTGCCTGTCCTTGGCTCAGTGTGAGGGAAGGTGTTTGGCAGGATACTGCATGGATCAATATTACAAATATGTACAGCTTTTTGAAGGAACGAATGTTTTTATGGCATTTACTCGAGTTTCCAGACCAGTGACAGAGACTGAGAAGGGAGCTTCCTCTGTGACCGTTTCTGGCAAGGAGCCCATCATTCATGTCATCCTCACACACCCTCTCCTCTTCTGCCCTGGGAAGGGAGCAGGACCGAGCCCAGCCGCTGATTCAGGGTGTGCCGTGAGCGAACACATGCTACACAAAGAGACAGCAGTTCCTTCATCTGGCCACCCAGAGAGGAAGCTACACATTTAAATTTTAGGTGAGCCAATGGAATGGCTGCGGGAGAAGGGTGGTTCCCGGCTGGGGATTGCAGTTGGAGGCTGTAAACTCCGGGAATGCAGGGAGTTACAGGGAACAGTTACTGCGCCACGTGGTTTTTTAACCATACTCGGCATCAGAATAAAAGCGTCCACTCCTGTGGGAGGAAAGTCCTGTCAAAAGGAGGTCTGTACATCACTCGGGGACAATTAGTGAGCTAAGGAACAAAAACAATTATAGCGTTGTATCTGTAGGTAATGTTCTTTTCTAAAAGAGGCCTTTTCTGTGTCACACCTTTTAGGGGACTGTAGGAGGTTTCTGCAAGCGAATCTGTCTGGCAGAGCACATCAGTAAGGAATCTGGAATATGATTCGAGTGAGAGCAGGATGAGCTGRATTTAGCGGCTGTGCTGGCCATGGCAGCAGCGCTGCGGGACGGGGAGCTCCTGGCGCATCAGCTCCGGAGCACCTGGGAAAGGGAGAGCCCGCMGATGCAGCAYACAGTGCCACTTTTTGTGTATTTTMGAGCTTGTCCTCCTTAACGAGGTCTTGTCTGCTCGACGGGCGTTTTAAAGCTACTTGAGAGATGCTTACAAGTGCCGGTGCCGATTTTTGATGGGGAGAGGGGCCCCGGGCAGGGCAGGGCGCTCCCCGGGCACTCACTCATTCACTCACTCACTCACTCACTCACTCACTCACTCACTCACTCACTCACTCACTCACTCACTCACTCACTCACTCATTCATTCACTCACCTGTCGCGCCGAGCGGATCTGCCGCCGCACCGCCTCCTTGCAGCCGTAGATGCTGTCCCCGCAGCCCGGCTGGAAATGCGCCTCCACCCGCGTCAGCCCGCGGAAGGCGCCGCCGGCGAAGCCCGGCCAGCCCAGCTCCAGCGCCGGCGGCTCCAGGTCCGAGCGCTCGGGGAAGTAGGTGAGCGAAGAGGCGTCGAGCGAGGCGCCGGCCGAGGGCTCCGCCGCCGGCTCCGGGCCCGCGGGGGGCGGCAGCGCGGCCCGAGCGATGTCCTGCACCTCGGGCTCCGACAGGAAGGGCGGCAGCTGCTCCCGCCGCAGGAAAGCCCGCAGCGCCTCGGGGCCGCCCGCCACCAGCTCCTCCAGCGCCAGGCGCTGCGCCTCGCTGTACGGCCCRGCCGGCGGCGGCCAGCGCCCCGCGCCCTCCTCCAGCCACTGCGACGCGCTGCCCATGGCCGGACACGGCGGCTCGGCCGGGACAGAGCTTTGTGCTCAGTTTGAATCCAAACAGCGCGGCCGCCACGGGCGCCTTCCCCGCCCCGCGCCGCCGTTGGCTCCGAGAAGGAAGGTACCGCCTCCGCCGGGCGGGAGCGGGGATGGAGCTCCGCGACAGGGAATACAGCCCTGCCCCGAGCGGGGATGGAGCTCCGCGACAGCGAATACAGCCCTGCCCCGAGCGGGGTTGGAGCTCCGCGACAGGGAATACAGCCCTGCCCCGAGCGGGGACACAGTCCAGCCCGGAGTGGGGACACAGCCGTGCCCCGTGCAAGGGACACAGCCCTGCTCGGAAAGGGGACACAGCCCTGCCCCGAGCGGGGCACACAGTCCTGTTCCGAACAGGAACACAGCCAAGCCCGGAGCGGGGATGGAGCTCCGCGACAGGGAATACAGCCCGAGCGGGGACACAGCCCTGCACCGAGCCCTGCTGCCCTTCATGGGGCTGGGACGGATCGCGGAGCTTTTGCCCTCAACAAAATTAAACCCGCATGAGAAGGACGCTCGTAATGATGCGCGTTAACAAATGCTGGAGCTGAAGCCTCGGACACATCCAGATCCACGGAAGGCAGGCACAGCTTTGGCTTTCCAGATTGTCACCAGSACCAACTGGCGCTGCTTCTCAGCATCACGGAACATTTTGTGGTGGAAGGGATCCCCAAACATCGTCAAAGTCCAATCCCCGGCCCTGCACAGGGCAGACCCAAGAATCCCACCATGTCCCTGACAGCATTGTCCGAACACTGCTTGAGCTCTGCATTCGAAACAAAAACTTACACCCCCCACTGCCTAGATTTCCTCTTCTAGACATCTCCTGGCGGTAGACAACTGAGAGGCAGAGACATTTAACAGAGTCCCAAGACGTAAAACAATTAAAAAAAAAAACCTCAGTGACATTTTTGTATTATTAAAAGAAATTTAATATAATTTTTAAATTAAAAAATTCAATCTCTCTATTAAAGACACTGAGTCAGGTGCTAATACTGTCAAACATACCCTTTTGGCATGAGTTTTACATAAAGTTTAAGATTTTATGCATTGCTTCAACATGTTAAGAAACCATCTTCATACTTACAGTAGCAATAAAGTCAATTCCATACAATATCAAATATCCTTTGTTTAAAAAAAGTTTTAAATATATTAGACTCTGATTGCCAAAATGCCATTTTATACACAAAGCTGCTAATACAATATACAGTTCTTACATTATTTTWTTTTCTTCACATAAAATACATTTCATCAAGTTTTATCTGTACATCATTTACTACTGATCAATAGAATTACGAGTTATTGCAGAAGGCTTGCTGTCATCTCTTACTGTCCTGTACACGGTTACCCACACTCCTGCAATCTCACCCTGCAATCTAAAGGCTGAAGACATTGTGGTGGCAAAACTAAGGCTGCATCTGCACTGTTTAAAAACCCGTATCTCCCCTCCAGCTGCGGGTGGAGATCATTGCATTGGTGTAGCTTTGGGAACAGGTATGTCGAGCAGAGTCTCCTCTTTCCATCCTACAGCTTCCACGGTTGAAACAYAGCAAAATATTCCAGGTCGTAATTGTGCCATGGCAGATGTTGCCTGGAAAGCCCAGTGGTACTTGAATTGTGTGAAGGAACTGAGAAGTCCATTACCAGTTTGGCCAACATGAAAACAGAGTAAAGGTGAAGAACARCCAGGGAGAACTGTTGTGTTGTACAGCCACAGGCAAAACAAAACAGAAAATGTAAATGTGTCCTGTATTAAGAGGCGAGACCTTGCGTGTTCTGGATTCTGCCTGTAGGGAACTGATACACCAAAGTAGTCAATGTCATTTGTTAAAATTGAATGAAGCCCCTCTGCATTTCCTTTCTGTGTATTTAGGAAGAAAGAAGTGTTGATCATGAGACAAATTGAAGGAGCAAATAATAATCTCAAAATCTGGCATGCTCTGAACTGCGATCCCCTTGCAAAAATCTCCAAGCTAAAGATCATCAAGAACTGTATGGTCACCACAAACCTTCCAGGGATGAGTTACCTTTAGCAAGTATAAGGCACAGAAATACCCAGGAGTAGGGAGAAACTTTCCAGCAGACAGACAACAGTTCATCCACGGTTCACTGGAGACCAGTGCTATTGCTTTCTCAGGATATTCCCTTTTCCACGGGAATGCTGATTTAGTTTCAGCAGGGATGATGTGGGTAATCAGAGCTCCAAGACTGAAGAAAAAGAACACTAGGCTGAAGTTGTAATGCCATTTGGGAGCTTTTAAGGGATTTGAACCCCTTGAAATAAGACCCTGCTCAATAAATTTGAGAATTCACTGCCTCCACTGAGTATTGCACTGAGTCATTATTGCTGTTGCCCTGCCATGCTGTTCTCCTTCCCTACCAGGAGTTCCTCACCCTGGTGGTTCTTCAACCACTCCTCCAAGATGGCACAAAACCACATCAGCTAGAGTCAGTTCTTCCCAAAATTGGGAGGGTTTTAAGGTTCAGGAGCACCAAAGAAGTGAAATTAAGTGGGCTGAAATCACATCATGTGGTACATGAATCACAGATCCAGGTCTGATTTTCAAGCAGATCCCAGCAATGGTGCTTAAGCCCTTATCTAACATTTCACTGCTGGGACTTCCTTGGCTGAGCTCAGTGAAGCAGAGACATTCCTTTGAAAGACAATTTTTTTTTCCATCTAAAAAGTATCTTTCAACATGGAGTGTAAAGCTGCTCCTATGAATCAGTTASTTTGCTAGAAACAGTACAAATTCAGCACAGAGGAAAATGTTGTGAGGAGAAGGGTTATTCTTGTGCAGCTCTGCCTGCAACAGACCTGTCAATGCATTCACATTCTCAAATCTTTGCAGTCTCTATGAACAACTACAACCTCTGGCTCACTGCTAACTGAACTGAGACTAATCTGGCATTGAATCTGTAATTAGATATTTATTGAACCAAAAACAATTCAATGTATTATAAAAACCTCAAATCTTCCTCTAACTTAGTGCTAGATATGCCAGTCACAACATGATTTCTGGTTTCTACAGCTYTGTAGCCATATTAAGATCCAATGAAACAGCCAAGTGCCCTCTGCTCTGCACCTCAGAGTTTAACACTGGGATGGCCTTTAAAACACATGGATATCAAAAACCCACTACTGTTTTAACAGTGCTAAATGCACAGTGAAAAGCCTTATTCCTAGAGGTAGGCTGCTACAACACCCATGTAAGAGAATTTACATTTTTCATTCCCCCAAAAACCTTTTTGTCCCCACAAATAGTTCACCAGAAGCAGGTGAATTATCCACTTGGCAGAATCCCTCATCCCAGGCCTACAACCAACAGCTCTGCCAGTGCTCCACAGGCAGTGACCACGACATCTCAAATGTCACCACACATATRAACATGAATCCATTCCAGGTCATTCTCCAACAGCCTTCCAAGTCACACCTTGGTGGTGACTTTGGGACTTCAGCTCAAAGCCAGTGGCAGGAAAGTGCTTGGCAGGGCTGTGAAACACATCCTGCAAGATTTATCCATTACTGACTTAAAACARTAACTCTCCTGTCTGAATACAAATGGATTATACTTGATAAGACACCACTGGACTTCACAGCTAGAATGATGAGCTCMCAGAGTTTTACATATAAACAGAGTGAAATACCAGTGGAAGCCAAGAAGCTGCTTGTCTAAAATGGACTGGTTTCCTGCAGTTTTAACATATTAAGAGCTCTCAGTGAAAACAAGCCTCACACTACTTTACACTATTGCAACCAATGATCTCMATTTCCTTGGAATTAGGCAGGGTTCAATAGCACAAAGTTGCTCTGAGAAGGAAAAAGGCCCAACTCCTCCTTTGCTGGGAGGGAAGGCAACATCTGGGCCYAAATTTTGCACCATTTGCAACCTAGTGGATAGCGGCACCAAAATTTGTTACAGTGAATTCAGATATCTCATTGGGATGGATGTGGAGAGACAAACCTCACCACCATGGGAGAAGAGAGGCACCTGAAAGATCATCTCCCCTGTTCTGTAATAGCCAGGCCACTCTTGGTGTTATCCCAGAAGAATTTACTCAAGGTAATCAGAAGACCCACTTTTAACCACATACAGTAAAATCTCTCCAGTTATCCAATTATCCTCTTTCTACTASAGAATGACTTCAAAAATCCCTCAAGGTCAAGCACAAGAAGTATTTTCTAGTCCTGTAATTAGCTAAATGTGTTCCAGCAAGGGAGGGAGCCCAACTCCTCTGAATGCTTCAAACTCTGCCTTTAGCAGAACTGGGGTTTTAAATGAACCAGATCAACTGCTACCACTTCCTAGTTTGCACCTGAAACTGGTGAGGAAAGAGAATTGTGGAAATCTCCACACAGTTTAAAGCAGTAAATTGTCAGCCTGGTAATGACCTCACAGGTCCAAAAGCGTCTCCTGCACAGCGTGGCAGGGGTGGTGACACACAGCCACCTYTGCTGCCTCCAGGAGCCCAGAGCCCTGTATTGTAACATATCCAGCCCCAGGAAGGGGTGGATTTGATGGGGGGCAGGGGATAGCATTTAACAGTCACAGGCAGCCTCAGTCAACTGTTTATAGCCTAGAAAAAGTTAAGGCTGTGAGGATTCCCACAGTGAAGGGCAATACTGATGTCCAACAGCCACCAGATAAAAGGAAGATGGGTGGAAGCTGCATTTGCTGTTGCTTGGCTGAAGCATGACTACGTGAGCTGGAGTTAATCCACTGATGGCTTACAGAGACCCAAACAGCTTTATGTCTTCAGAGTTTGGAATTTAAGCTGCCCAAGAAGACACATATTCATGCAGGWGAACAGCTCCGTGTGTGACAGCCCCTCTGTGCAGAGAAGGGGTTAAAGATTTACAGTCACTTCTTAGACACAACTGCAGCGTGGCCAGTCCTTCAGAGCTGTCCCACACTCACCTCCCCCAGCAAACAAAGCCTGAGCTTGCTGCAAAGCCAGTGCCAAAGCCCAGGTGACACCGTGCCAGTGTTTCCCGGGTGGGCYGGCAGAGCTCACACCAACTACACCAGAACAATGTTGGCATTGCAGCTGCTCCGCAGCACAGAGGCTTTGTTAAATCCTGATGGTGTCAGGCAACTCCCACAGACACRGAGGCATTTAAACCTTCCTCTGCCAGCTGCTACCCACTGCTGAYAGCTTCAGCAAGGGAGCTGGAGAACAGCGCATCTCCCACCCTGCTGCAGTGCTCAACTACCACGGCAACGGTTGAAGTTATTCCTCAGCCAAAGACTGCAGGTTAATGCAAGTGTCATCACATCTACGGGATTAGAAATGCTTTCATGGCATTCCTGGATTAGTGTTGGCAAGCCTTTCCTTCCCTGCCCTCCTGAGCCCTGTGGTTCTGGAAATCCAGAAAAAAGTCAGAACGCAAAGCATACTGCCCCTAGTATCTGTGTTGAGCATACAGAGTAAACAAACAGAATCAATAGGAAAGTGAGATCAACAAAAGTCTTTTCAGTTTTAACAAATTAAGAGTCTAAATAGTACAAATAAGTGTTTTTAAATTACTTATCCCAATATAGACCTTTGTCAGTATTTTATTGCAGTAAAATTCTATTGCCAGGGCCCCTTTATTGCAACATCAGTTTTAAAGCCTATAGAGTGAAGCCTGTTCCAGGAAAAGTTCTGCTTCAAACCTGATGGCAGTCTGCAGTGATGAGCAGAACAGGACCCAGCCAGTGCACAGTTTGTGGTGGTGGTGAGCTGTCACTGCAAGGAGGTAACACCTTGCAAACTTCTGAAGTGCTCACTTGTTGCTCAGGCCCAGGAAGTGCTGGATCCAGCTGTGTGGAAAACAGCTCTGTCCGCTCCTGCAAACCTCAGGTGGGGGCTGACCTCCCCTCCAGAGTATGTGCWTCACCCAGGAGTGAAGCACAGGTTTGAGCTGTCACCTCCCAGCTGCTCGGGGACCGACAGCAAGAGGCTCAGACACAAAGATTTGAATTCACATCCTTTCTTTGTTCCAAGGCATCTCCTGACTTCCCGAGGATGGGGAGGCAGCGCACCACACCTTCCTCCCAGGGGAGCAAGGCTAAGGAGACTCTTTTGCCATCATATTGATGAGCATCCCTTCCTCTCCCAAGAGCCTTGTTCCAGCTGCAATGGAAGCAATTGGCAGGGTAAAGTACAGTTCGAGGTGAACAAGGCTGCCACAGTCAGGATGTCCATGACCAAATTTTCCCTTTGGAATGCAAACAGCCTGGCCACTGCGAGATCCAACCAGCCCACCCACATCTCACTCCTCTGGGGCGAGACACGGGCCAGCCTAGGAAATCCTGCAGCACCCRTGCACCTTCTCCTCCATTTCCTCCATGGGAGCTTTGAATTTCAAGAGGGGCGGATCACCACTGGACACTGTGTAATACACTGAGGTCCCATTGGAGCTGTAGGGAGAAGTCCTGGATTCGATTAAGTGCGACTTGGCCTCGCCCACGTTGTCAGGCACTCCTGCCATGCCGGTGCTGAAGTGGGTGCTGAGGAAGGGGTGCTGGAGGAGTTTGGCTGCAGCTCGCTGCCGCTTCAGTTCCGACAGGGTCTGGTGGTTGTGCTCCTTGTAGGCGCCCCAGAACTGCGGGGCCTCGGGCAGCACGGGCGTGCCGTAGGGCAGCACGTGGCCAGGGTTACTGTCGGGGTCAGGGTGCATGCTCCAAATGTCCCCGTTGGAAAAGCTGTACTGGTAGGGGCTGGCAGTGGCCATCAGTCCGTTCTGCAGCGGGATCTCGGTGTCGCACTGGGTGCTTTTGTTCGCCAGCTCCGGGAGSAGGGAGGAGTTCTCCAGCACTGAATTCTGGAACAAGACAACAAAGAGAATCTTCCCCCATCCTCCAGAGCAGGGTTCATCCCTGTGACAACCTAAATCTGCTCACATTCGGCCTTTCCACCACAGTGTTGCAGCTCAACACTGATTTCCCCCACTAACAGAACCCTACAGTGCTGTGAGCCCCAGCCAGGAGCTGGTTCCCAAACAGGACATGGAACCTTAACTCAGAAGGCCTCACACAAAAAAAAAAAAATTAATATGCTTATCTCTATAAGATGACAATACTTAATTAAAAACAAGTAACTAGAAGCAAGTTTACAGTTCTTTTGTGCTTACTGGTTTGTGAGCTTTAGAAAGAAAGGCAAAGGTTTATTCTTTTTGGAGCATCCTGGTTCATTTTTATCTCAAAACTATGAAGCTGGAAATCCAAAACAGGCTTTCCACTTGAGTGGGACAGCTTATGCMAAATGAGAATTTGGTCTTTTGCTTACATGTGATGAGTGAGGTAAACAAATTTTTCAGCCACCTTCCACCCACTGCTACAGAACCCACATCACCAGTCCTCCTCAGTGTCCCCCATGAAAGAGAAGAGATTCCTTACAGGGTCTGTATTCTCCTGGTCAGACCGAGTCTCCCCAATTTCTCCAATGAGACCTGAGTTTCTTCCTTCATCTGTTGACCCCAGYTGCTGCCAGACCATGGCCTCCTTCTCACACTCCTTCCTGTAAAGGTTTGTCCGGTCCGAAAGGCTGGCCCTCCTCACCACCTTCCTGTGGGACAGGGACAAGGGCCATCAAAGCTGTGAGCAGGACGTGACATTTCCTCTTACCCTGCATCTCTTCTCACCTCCTCCTCYTCYTYCTCYTYATGCTTCCCAGCCTCTCCCTCTGGAATGGAACGTGGATTCAGCTTCCTGGCACCCACGCCAAGCAAAGGCACTGGCATAGATACTGATGGTGGGAGGCATTTTAAGGAGATCTAAACTGGCACTGCAAATCTGTGTTAGAGCTCATACAGGTCACCTTATGGACCCATTTTGCAACCAGTGGAGAAAATGTCGAGRGAAATGGCCCACAGGCTGTTTAGGGAGCTTTGTGGGCTGTAGGACTGCTTTGGTGTCCAGCAAAAAATCTTACAAAGACCTCTGCAAACTGTGTCTGGGTACTGCACCTTGGCCATGTGACATACCACTGAAAAGCTCAAATAATTCCACTTGAAGCACTGATTCTCCAGCACCAGTTTCAGTTGTTTAACAGGGTAAATTCTCACAATTTGTTCCTCTGGTCAGTGCAGTCATAAACCACAACAGCACAAAACCATTTTCCCCCCACGAAACAGYGCTTCTTCCTAGTGAAAAAGCCACTCTCAAAGGAGCTCTGCTCTCACCACCAAAGTGAGTTTCTGCCTTTTGTGAGCTCATTCAGAAAGGACAGATGGGCTGTTTTCACCAACCTCAGGGTGCTCTGCACCCACAGCTGGGTGGGCAGCCCGATGTCCTGGTGACCTGCAGGGAACAGCACAACTCACCCCCGGCTGCCCGTGCTGGAGGTCCTGCGGCTCAGGGAGGATTTGTGCCTCATCTGAGACTTCATGATCACATCGTGTTTGTGTTTCAGCTCCAGAAGCAGCACTTTGAACTCCTCCTCTTCACACAGATCTACGGCACACATGGACCAAGCCCTTCATCAGACAGTTCCCATTATCACCATGTTACTAATTGTGCTTTCCTACCCAGATCTTAGGGTGCATGCAACAGCAGGGAGGCTCCCAAGCACGAGGGATTACAAATTTGGAAACACACAGGAGGAGGACTTAGTGCTTGGGAAATACCTTCTTCCTTGTTTTTATGAGGAGGAAGAAGCTCAGTATTTATTTTCACTATTAAAGTAGGTGCTTCWAAACTTCAGCCCCAGTTAAAGTAACTTCAGTCTCAGTTAAAGTAACTTCAACTCTGACTCTAAAGACACCTAAAAAATCATGTTAATGATTCTGAAAGCACCATGTGAAGACTCCAGCCAWTTCTTTCTTTAAGCTTGGTAAACTCACCTATTGGCATCTCATCCAAAGATGTCCTGGCACTCAAACTAGCCCCATGGGACACGAGCAGCTCAGCCATCTGCATCTAAAGAATGGAAAGAAAGCCAGGTTGYTGGAGGTATCTCAGGCAATTCAGGCTTTCCTCCCCAAAGCTGAAAGGTTGGAATGAGATGAGAAGCAATGGCATGCAGGTTCAGCTCACCTCAAATAACTCTGGTATGTGTGTGATGCTAAACATCGTTCCCACCACCCACCCACCTGCACAGACATGCTCTGCCTGAACTTTCTCAGCACCCAGCTCTTTTTGGAACCCCAGATGCTGTCCAGAGAGCCCAGCCCCTGTTCAGATTTATTCATTTGCAGAGCACTCCACAGTTTGTCCAGGCAGGAAGAAATACCACACTCACACACGACCCTTGCAGCAAAATCCTTACCTGTCCCCAGAAAGCAGCAGCGTGAAGAGGTTCCCAGCCATCCCAGTCCTTAACATCCAGGCTTGCCCCCTGGTCAAGAAGCACTTCAGCTGCATGCAGATAACCATTGGCTGCAGCTATATGCAGCTAGGAGATAAGGAACAGAGCATGAGCCACCTGCAGAGACCATGACTGGGTTTATACACCGAGTTTCAGTGGATTTTATTGGATAATGTTTGAGCCTGGAGCTGGACAGGCAGCACATTTCACTCTGGGCAGATGCCACCAGGTCAAAARCAGGTCATTCCTGTCACTAAAACTCAGTATTGCCTGCATGTAATTCTGTTTGAAGAGGTTATTTGCTTAACAGTTCTTAGAAGAACCTAGACATGTGGATGAGAAAAAGAATGCATCCACATCTTAAATAAGGGGCTTTTAAGTGCTTCCCAGTCTGTAGGGAAATAGCACCATCAAAACACAAGCCCGCAATGCAGAGCATCCTCCTCTGTGAGCTCTGCATTCCTCATGCCAGAAGAACGTCTCCTCTCTCCCACCAAAGTGCTGTGGATGCGATTTTTTGGATCAAATTTACAGCCTGCTTTAGTCACGACTCCCTCTGTGCAACTGCACTTCCAATTACTCTGTATTTATTTTCGTCATTTGCAAAACAAAAACATTTTAAACCTTGGATACTTTTAATTAAGGGAATATGGGAGTTTTTTTTCAGATACTGGCTTCCAACTACAGCCACAACTTTAAATACATCAATAATAGCCTCTTTTAGTCCCCCAACTTCATGTCTCTGAAGATTTTCATAATTGCAGTTTGCTGTTGCATCTCTGAGCAAAATACTGACCCATGCACTGCTCCGAAAGGATTAACTCCACTCAGAGCTCCTCCTATTTCAATTGTGCTGAAGAGAAGAATCAAAGCTCCTTTTCAAAAAATTTTCATGGGGATTCCACCACACCAAGTTAAAAAACCTCATCTGGAAATAAATCCTGATGCTTTCTGGCAACTCAATTAATTTCTACATGATTTTTATGCCACTCAGTCATACCTTCCAGGAACCATGTGAATTAATAAGAAATCACTTGGGGGTGATACAAAAGGGGGAGYCAAGAGGTCTGCTTAAATGTGTGTTGATAATCCTTGTTAAAGGGAAAAATGTGTTAAAAAAATAAACTGCAATRAAAACTTTGGTCATCTAAGCTTGTCTTGGAGGGAGCCTGCTCACCCCTTACACTTCTGGTACATGCTAAAGGTGACTTTACGTTAAGAAACTGGAAAGTGTCAGTCCACAGCAGCAGTGAGAAGCAAGAGGTTATTGGGAGATCTTGAGATGTTTCAGGCCCAGCTCCCTGCAGGTCAGCAGYTGTGTTATGTCCTGCAACTCCTCACTGAGGGATTTCCCCTCTCAGTGACTTGAACATGTTGATTTTGTACAGCTCCTGCTCCAGGGCAGGTTTCATAACCTGTGGGCTGAAGGAAAGCAAAACTGAAGGCGCTGCAGTTTCACTCACCAGCGTAGCACCTTGGGCATCYGTCCTGTTCAGGTCTTGCCCAGTCGCAAGAATGTCATGAATGTCACAGATCATGACCTGCTCYGGGGCAGCTCGCATCTCATTGATCCTTTCCTGGGTAATCCCTGGGGAAATTCCAGTTAGAAACAGGAGAGTTSGGAAGGGTTGTTGTCTCCACTTATTTTACTTTATTGAGTAAAATAAGATTCATGATCCTGGCTGATAGGAGCCCACATCCTTTGAAGGATGTCTAGCTGTCAGCCATCAATCACCCTCATGATCTTTAGGAATCAGAGCAAATAAACAGAGTCAGGCCCCAAGAAATTTTGCCAGGAGCAGCTCTCTGCTTTCCTCCAGAGGCAAATCAAGAGCTGAGAAACGGGGTAATTTTTAGTACCACTCTGACCCATTTTTGTGTTTTACATAAACTCAGTCTCCTTACCTTGATAGGCCATGCAAGTCTCAATGACATCCAGGGTTGGCTCATCTTCACAGAGGTCATAGGGCATGTTGCCATCTGCATTTACTGCCAGCAGGTCTGCTCCACTGCAAGGGGAAAATGGAATTACACAAGGAAGGAGCTCAGGCATTGCAGAGAAGACAGTGCCAAACACTGGGATAGATGCTTAGGAACAACTAACTGGGGGTTAAGAGCTGCCCAAATGCCACCAAGGTATAAGATAAAGGCTTCAAGCAAAGCTGTGGAGCAATGAATGGGGAAGATGAATTCCAGAACTGGCTGGAAGGCAGCAGACTACACYTCCTTCCTGAGTCGGTGATGCACCRTGTTCCACATCTGCTCCTTTTTCATAACCCTCATCCAAAAATTTCCTAACCCAAGTAGGATCATCCTCCAAGGGATGCTTCACTGCATCCTCTCCTTCATTATACAGTTAAAGAAAGGCCACATTTTCAGTGCTCATCTCCCAGATGGCAGCAGCACAGGGAGAGGTCTCCCTCCCCAAGGAAGAAGCAGCAAGGTCAGAAAAGGCACCCCAGGAAAGGGAGGAGAGAGCTCTGTGCATGGGCAGATCTGCTCCAGGCAGGATTCACCACAGCTGCTCACCAAACAGCTCCAAACACTCCTGCTTTCCTCTTCCTGGCTGGCAAGTCTAGAAAGACTTGAGCTTTAAGGCTTTGGTCAAGCACCCCGTGTCCCCAGCAGGGAACAAACCCTGCAGGGAGTTCACTGATCACTAATGAAGTTCACWGATCACTAATTAAAGGCCACTGAGACAGGTCACAAAGTTCACCCAGCTGTTGACACTGCCTGCTTGGCTGGGTCTGGAAGGTCTGAGGTGGTGTTTGGGAGCTTGAGGGTGGATCCTGCTGGCTGCTGCTGCTCTACCCATCCAGCACACACAGACACACCAAAACACAGGCAAAAAGGGGTGAATTCTGGCCCAGTCTCTAGAAGCTTTATTAAACTGAGCCTAATCATCTAAGGTTTTACTGTCTCCTCAGCCTTTCTGCCCTTCCTCTTCACCCCCAAGCAGGGAGGACCCTCAGCATCAGCCTGAAAGCAGGGAATAATCACCACTGCTGCACTTTCCAAAGGTACTAAACAGTCTCAGCTTCCACCCACAGCAGCTGTGGACAGAACCAGAGCCGCAGGAAGGACAGACACAAGAAGCCACCTACTGCTGGATGAGGATCTTGACCAGGTTGATGTGACCACAGGTGGCTGCTGCGTGCAGGGGGGTCCACAGCTCATTGTCCTTGGCATTGACATTGGCCCCGTGGCTCAGGAGGAGCTTGACAATGTCCTCRTAGTTGTCTATGCAGCACTGGTGAGGAAAAWAWTGGGGTTTTTTAAACTTTGGGAAGSTGAGGRCTCACAGCTGCTCRKATGTACAATAATAAAGGGCTCCTGGGTATGGAGACCTACTTTATCCTGCACTGTTGGGCAAAAGCATCTCTGGCAGAGGTGAACACCAAACTGAGCACCAGCAGGTCAAAAAGGCACCATGCAAACACAACACCTACACTGGACAGATAAAAGTCACTGGTGTTCCACAGAGCCTGCTGGTGTGGGGGCAGAACCAGCAGGGAATAAGAGCAAACGTGCTCACAGCTCCCAATCCACTGGCTCTTCCATATTCAAGAGCAAACAYGGCAGAAATTCAATGTAACCAGTGTAACCACACACCAGGGATGAGCTGACAGGCTGGCATCCCCTTTTCTTAGGGAAAATCCCACACACTGGCATGTGATGAGCAGGAGTCTTCTCAGCAGCTCACGCTACCTACCACAGCTATCTGGAGAGGCACAGACTGGGCTCCCAGAATTGTGAGGTGCCTTTGCAGGGCACCTTTCACTTCCTGAAAAAAATCACCTTCCTTCCTGCATTTAGGGTGCAGCCCCAGAGGCAGCAGGACAGAAGGACTCCTCTTCCCTTTAGTGAAGGTGGAATTTGCTCTTTGATCCAACTCTTGTTCACTCCTAGGCATGAATGTGTGTGTGATAAAGACACAAAAATAAGATTGTTTCTCGTGTAAGAAGCCCATTTGTGGTGTGTGCATTAGTGCAGACCCCCAGAGCTGAGCACACGGAATGGGGCTGAATTCCAACACACAACAGCAGCTGAGTGACAAAGGAGCTTCAGGTATTTCTGTTTTGTTTGCTGTTTGTACATGGAAGGGAGGTTAAAGTGCTGCCTGTCACACAGCCAGGTTATCACAGAAGTGGAAGGAATCCACATTCACTGGAATGCTAATGGTTCCACTGAGGGGCTTCCTCTGCTCAGGGATTCTGCTGGTTTTAGGGGATGCAAAGCTCCCACCTAAACTCCCAAATGCACCTTTACAACCTCTCAGAGGGCAAGGGGGGATTGTCCAGGCTTTAGAGCCTATCTGGGGAAGCAAGGAGGCCGTCAGTGTTTCTCAGTGTTCAGGATAACATCGCTCTGGAGAGGTGGTGGTAGTGGTGGGGACCTTTTGTTCTTCCAGAAGCCAGTTTGCATTTTTAAACAAACACACATCCAGCTTTGAAGAGAGCAGGGACTGGCGAAAGAATCCAAAATCCCAAGTCAACGGGATCATTTACAGCAGGCAGCAGTGGCCACAAAACCCTGAGTGTGACAACCACGCCACTGTTTTTGGAGGCAGCGGGGGCGGCAGCTGCCAGGCACGGCCAGTCCCACGTGCCTTCARAAGAATAGAAAAACCCTTATGGAAACAGCACAGAGGCTCCAAGGGAGGCCACAGACCTACACAGCACTGCAGCAACTCTGCATTTCACTGGTGATCAGCTACAGGCTCTGGAAGCTCCTGAACAAGCAGCAGTGGGTTCTTCAAACACCTTGTGCATTGTTTATTTAGACCATGTTCAAAACTCGTGGATTGCCAAGGTGTCTAAATTTGAGTTAATGTGCTGTAAGAGTTTATAGCCCAGTCCTATAAATGGTGGGAAAAATGTTGTTCACATGTGAAGTCCAGCCCTGACTCCAGAGTTCTTATTATCACTGAATAAAGTCAGGGATGCAGCAAGAAAAGGGTTTGATCTCAGTTTGTTCCCCAAGAAACCAGGCTGCCAGCACAATGTGGTGATTTAATTGAGGGAAAAAAAATAAAAAAGGAATGTAAGAGGTCTCCCTGCTGAACCTGGCCAGGTGTGCTGAGTGGGGAATCCAGCAGAGCTGTGAGCTCCTGCCGTGCCTCACCTGATGCAGCGCGGTCAGTCCGTCCTCGTTGCACAGGTCGGGGCTGATGTTGCTCTTCAGCAGGTAACACACTGCAAGGCAAGGAACAGCACGGTCAGAGCAGCCACCCTGCACAGCTCCTGCTCCCAGCCAGCCCTGGCCACTCCAAGACAAGGCAGAGCTGCAGGAGACACGAGCCCCACACTGGCTTCTCACCGCAGTGAGAGGAGCTTTCCTGGGTTTATCCAGCAGAGAGCACCAGCACACAATTTTCCCCCAACCTCCTTCCAAAGCAGCCTGCAATACAGTTAAATTTTYATACAACTGTGCTGGAACAGTCTCCATTTTTACCGTGTGCTTCACAATGCCTGAGTGCAACCTCTGCACTCTGCAGCCCAGGAAAGATTCAAAAATTCAAAATCAAAGGGGATTTTGGGGTCCTGAGTTACAACCATGAGAGAGATCCCTCCCACTGTCAGAGGGATGAGGTCCCGCCTCAAGAAGTCATCTATGTATGATGACATAGGGCCCTGCCACATCTAAATGCACCAGGGTTGTTCTGGACACTTCACTTGAGCTGCTGGGTGTTTGGAGAAAGCCTCCCAGAGGCTTTCGTTTTTAATTGCTGCTTTGGGGGGAAAGGGTAGGATTTATTCCATTAAAATGCAAATTTACAAAACACGTGAAAAGTCATTAGCCCCTAGGTGAAAAACAAAGTTTGCTCTGAGGTTCAGATCTTGCACAGGGCAATAGCAACAAGGCTGGCAGAGGGCATAAATTAAYAGCAACCCCAGAAACACTTCAAACAACACTGCTGACAGATCTTGACGATCCATAGCCATCTTGTGTTGTTTGCTTGCTCCAGAGATTTCAGTACCTAATGCTTTTCCTACCTCAAATGTCACTGACAGCACAAGCACGAGCCAGAGGTTCATAACCATCTCCCCAGGGCCAGAGCAGTGACAGATATTCA